CCAGGTTGAGCTGTTGTTCAGCATCTTAGCTGTAGAGGGCAGTGTCACTGGCCCTCATATGTGGGATCCAAACCGGGGCCCTCTGGCGTCCCAAGCTAGCTCTTAAGCAATGTGCCACTCAGCCGGCCCTGGATTATTTTAGTTATATGAATCAATGATGCTTGGTAACTGTTTAAACCTCTTTAAGAGCAGCCAGATGGCTCAGTGCTTAGAACTCTTAGCAACAAGCTTGCCAGTTTGACTCCCGCATTAGATGGTGGAAAATGGCTACCCACAACTAAGATTGGACACGGCACCTTGAGCCGAGCAGCCGCGAGCTGCCGATGGGTGGCCAGATGGCGATTGGACTTGGAGCTGAGCTAGTTGCGCCCTCCACAACTAAGACTGAAGGACAACAACTTGGCTATTCCCCTTCCCCAATTCCCCAACACTGTTCCCCTCCCCCAATTCCCCAATAAAATATTTTTAAAAATTAATACAAAAACAAACAAAAGAAACCAACAACCTGTTTAAAATGAGTTTCCTATTAAATGCACGAAAACATTGTTAGAAAAGGCAAATAAAAACTATCATCATAAATTTGCATATGACAGTAGATGTGAGTGGAAGTTAGAATAAAAAAATATTGTTCATTTCATTTTGGGGTTACTGATTAAATTACCTTAACTTTTCCCACAGCTTTAATTTATAGTTGATTCTCCCTTTAACTTACCTCATTAAAAATATACTGGCCTCTTTCAAGGAGATCCTTCTACAAAATTGATCATATTAACATACATTTCACATTCTACTAGTCAGAAAAATTTGCCTGGCAGAAATGGTGGATTTACAGGGACATATAAGTTTTCATTAAACTACGTTTAGATTCGAAGGTTTGAATTAGTCACATCTCCTTCCTTACCAGATTCTAAAACAACTAAAAATATATACAGGAATCAAAGTGGGATTAAATATCAGCTTTAATATACTGTTAAGTGAAAAAGCAAAATTCAGAACAGCATGTATATCATGCTACCATTTGTATATATAAAATAAACCCCTGATAAATACACATACATATTATGCTTGTAAATCCATGGATTATCTCTGGAAGGATACATAATAACTGGTAACAGTGGTTACCTTTGGAAAGTGGGATAGGGGGACTGAGGTCAGGGTGGGAAGGAGGAAAGGAGACCTACGTTTTACTGTATACCCTCTAGTACTGTTTGATTTTTACCAGAGGTATGTGCTTTTTTACAAAAACAATTTACATATTAAAAATTTTAAAAAGAATAAAAACAGAGATCAGCTTTATTGCTGATAGATCTAGACTGGATAACATGGTTTAGATCTGAGTCTGAAATGAACTTCTACCCCAAGTTTAAAGAGGACGTTTACCCAGCCATGTAGTGAAGGGCTGCAGTCTTTCCCATATTTTGCTGTGAGGAATGAGCTCGAGAGTCAAGAGGGGCCTAGGGTGCTTACCCATAATAACCCTGTCTCAATTTTACCAAGTTATTTATTCCTCTTCCCATATGGAAGACTGAATGAGTGGCAAGTGGAGATGGGTAGAGGTTTTCTTCCAAATATTTTTGAGAAGTGAAATCCTTTATTTTTTTTTCTTGAGTCAGGAACATGGAGAGGCAGAAGACTGATCCCATCACACCCTTGGCAATTTTTGTTCTCTTAAGCCACAATGGTCAACACCCAAAACCATGGTTAACAAAGAGAACTTGGATGTCCCCTTCATGGGAGACCAGCAGTATCTTAGGAATGTCCTGCTTCCACCTGTGCAAGACTGGTGAACAGTTCTGTTTTTGACCCTAGAAGACTCTGAAATAAGTTAGAATAGAACAGAAATTAAATCAATTCCAAGGCCACGTTATACCCCAGGCTGGAAATTCACTCACCATTTTACCCCAAATTTACAATTATGTCCAGACACACTATATGATGCAGCTTACAAAGGTTACACAATGATCCCCAAAGATAGCACATTTAAATATTCCAAAAATTACAATATCAACAACATAATGAAAATTCCTCAATTTGAACTATATGAAACCCACACCAACTATTAAACGCCAAGGGAGAAATGAATGCTGCAAGTTAAATTTCTATTTTAAACTACAAAGGAATTAAAGTCCAAAATTTTGCCTTTCCCAATTTCTTGTTTTTCTCATTTTAGCCATACAAAACAAAGATGTCTGGACAGATATGGAGTTCCTTCAGCAGCTGCAGCCTGGGCTGTCTTCCACTTGATTTGGTGTAGTTCCCCCAAGACTTTAGGAGCTGAATTAATCTAACCCCACTGCTGCGTGTTTTAGATTTTTAAGAGTCCATGGTATCAATAGGACAAGAGATTATTACAGTATCATTCTCATATCCAAAACATTGGAAAGCACACTAATTCTCAGCCACTAGAACAGATATCCCAAGCAAATTGATATCCCCAGGACTTAGTACATAGGGTAATACAAACCTACATTGCTGTTTTCAGTCAAATAGCTGAGCAGAGACTTAGTGGTATCAAAAGGAAGAAAAGTAGACAGGGAAAACATCAGAGGAAAGAATGTTTTCTTGGTTTCATCCTCAGCAGGATGCCAGTCTGTCTGTGCAAGCAGTCTGGAATCCATGACCTGTGAACTTAAACTAATTTGGGAGATCTTTCCCAAGTGTTTGATTGTATTGCCATGCATCCCAGCCCCAAATCTGCAGAACTCCAAAGCCTGCCTGGTACTGCTAATGGAGCTTCTACAGAAACCCAATGAGAAAGCATTGGCTTTTGCCAGGTGCTTCTCTCCAAAACCTTACTTATTTTTCAAACATTCTTTCTTAGGCTTTGGTTAACCTTCACCAATGCCTTCAATAATGGAAGGTACAATTTCCATTCCATTCCTTATTTTTCTGCTACAGTAGGGCTCACCCTTATTTGCACATATGAGTATCTTAGGACCAGCCAACAAACAGGATAAACTTGAAAAACAAAGCATTAACAAGCATCTACTAGATTTCCATCTGTTAATGCCAGCATAAAGCACTTAAAACATCATTAAGCCTACTGACCATCTAGCACTGATTCCATTCTGTGTTCCACAGCTCTGCTAGGATACCATAATAGATGTGCCACCAGTTCCTACAAGGGCGCAAACCCTATTTTCAGCCTTTATTTTGGCAAGTGCCTTGTCTACCTCATCTGCTGGGACTCGGAAGTCCTCAAAGAATCAAATCTAAAACCTCATCTAAAATTTCTCAGGGTCTCTCTTGGTATAGAAAAGAAATCTGTACCTCAGCCTGATTTCAGATTTTTGTTCTTTCATTTTGAGGTCATGGACCGACCTGACAACCCTTGCTAAACCCAGGCTTTACCCTGTGACTGAGAACTCTAGCTAGAGCCTGGCTTAATGCTCCATTGGGTTGGCAAAGCTCACTTGTGTTAAAGTCTGCCTGCACAGCCTGCGTCTGTTAATACCCACTCCTGGGGATGTAAAGTACAGCATAGAGAATATAGTCAATAATGTTGCAACAACTATGTGTGCCAGGTGGTACTAGACAAATTGGTGGGATTGCTGCATAAATTATGCAAATGTCTAACCACTATGCTGTACACTTGAAACTAATATAAAATAATATTGAATGTCAACTGTAACCAAAAAAAATAATTTAAAAAACCCCACTCCATATCTTCAGGTACTAGCCAGAGATACTGAAGACAACAGAGACCCTAATGCCAATGATGACCAACCTTGATTTCTCCACTTGGTCTTTGGTTCCCAAATGTTTGCCCTCTTATCAATTTCATAAGATTCTCAGCCTATGCTTATGTATGAAAATGAGAAGTAATTACCCTCTTGATTTTGAAACAAGTTGAGCAATATAGGTGTAAGAATCAGAAAGGGAGAAAAGTGTTAGTCTTACTTTTAGTACAGTTAGAATTGAAAATGCAATTGGACAGGAGATAAAATGGGCTTCCCACTCTTCCCCAAATTGGACTTCTGAAGCTATCTGGGGGGAAGAATTGAAGTTGCAAAGACACTTACCCATCCAGTCACACTGAATATCTCAGGAAGATTCCCAGTTCAATGAGTACAGAGAGTCCAAGTGCCCCAAAGAATGAGGCAACAAGTGTTCAGCTACATTTAACCTATCAACACCACCCAACATAAACATATGGGCCAATGGATGTTAGACTTTACCCTTATCACTAATTAGATAAATCAATCATTCTCCTGTGGGAAGGAACCAGTAAAAAGGTTAGAGAATGGCAAAACGTTTCTTCCAAAATGACAGGGTAGAAGTTTGTTTGATTTTTTTTGTTTTTGTTTTTGTGTTTTTTTGCCAGGCAAAAGCGTGCAGAAAGGGAGAAGATGGTTCTTAAAAATTGGAAAGCAATCAAGACTGTGTGAACAGATTTTACAAATAGTCTCACATATTCAGCAAGTTTCAAGATGACCTCTAAGATGTTTTTACCAAATCGTAGACATAAATATGGAAATCGTCATCAAATTTTATGAAGTATACAGAAGGTTTTGCTTCTACCTGATGAATGACCATGCCAGTTCTCTTGGAGCCATCATCTTTGGCATATTCCACCTGTTTGCCTACTAGGCTGTCTATGACTTCTCCTGGCTCCCTCTCTGCAGGAGGAGAATCATTGGAATCAGGAAGGATGCGTAGGTCACCGTCTTTATAATCATCTAAGAGCTGGTACATATATAATACAGGATCTTTCTCATAGGTAATGTAAAACCATGTTTTCATTACAGGTGCCTGAGCTAAGACCATCCCCCTCCATTCATTTTTGGAACCTTCCTCTGTCTCAAAAATGTGTTCCACTGCTTTGCCAATCATAATTTCTGTTAAGTGTGTATCACTGATTCTAGATGATGCAACTCTATTAGGAAAGACTTCAAGTGATGACACTCTTTCATCTCTGTGCAGTTCCAATCCATAAACACAGTCAAATCCATCATATTTGATAAGATACAGAGAGGGATTTACAGGTACCTGATCCAGAATGGTTCCCTTCCACTGTGTTAGAGGTTCATCTCCATCTTTCCACCAGTGCTGAATTCTGCAGCCCACAATGTTCCTCTGAGGCTGGGAGGTGGGTTGGCTCCTATGCTTCTTGTGTGCAGCCTTTCTCTTCATCATGCTAACAGGCACACTGGCATGTCTTGCGCCTGTTCTGGACCGCTGCCCTGCAGCCGCATTTTCGAAAGGGGTCTTCATGCCTGGGAGGAGCACAGTAGCGAGGCAGGCCAAGAAAGGAAATTAAGAAAAAATAAATTCAATGCATGACACGGTGAGCTCTGTCTCCTAATTAGTGCACTCTGTGCACCCACGCCTAAGTTTTCCCAAAAGCTACACCGGAAAGCTGGCAATCAAGGCATTCTGGCGCGTGCCTGCAGAAACCTTCCTCCCAGTTCGCTCCAGCTACGCAAGAGCAAGGGAGTTGCGGTTAGGGTCAAAATAATAGGGGGCATCCCCCTATTCATCTCGCCTGGCGTCCAACGCTGTCCATGCCAGGTGGCACAGACTCCCCAAGTCCGGGGGTCGCGGGCTTCATGTGCCCAAATCGGACACTTTAGCTCCTGCCTTCGCAGGGGGTGAGGGGATGGCTGGTGGGGGGGTAAGAGGGTCAGCAGACGCTGAGCTGGGAGCTTTCGAGAGGTGAGGGGGGGAATCCGTAGGCGAGGAGCGTGCCTAGGAGGGCGGCGGGGCAGGCGAACAGGATAGCGGCTGTGTCTCCAGCACTATGCTTGCGGACCCTCTGCCTCCCTGTCCGCGGCGGAGGCCCCTCTGCCACATCGGGCTCCCACCAGCCTGTACTGCCGCAGCAGTCTCCTCCCTCTTCCATAGCGCAGCTTCCGGCTGGGAGAGAGGCCTCCCCTTCCTGTCAAACACCGTGCGCCCCCCTCCCCCAACTCTCACGCCCACCTCTGCTGGACCTGGGAGGTGCTCTTTGGTTCCCGGCCCCGCCCCTTTCCAAAATCAGAAGCAGCCTGGCGCATAAACCCCTACCCCCATCATGTAACGTCGCCTTCTCCGTTTCAGGGCCCCCAGGCTCCCCACCCCCAACTCAGTGCCCCTGCCCCATCTGCTTTCTATTTTCCAGGAATTCGCCCTTTCTTTTTCCCGAGCTGGTGTGGAGTTATTCTTTCTATACAGAAGCCTGCTTTTCCTGTCATTTAAGGGGATTTGAAGTAAAATGAGAGTAACGCGCAAGTGCTCAGTCTGCCTTGTTGACCCAATCTCTAGGTAATTTTTACTGATTCGTCATTTCTGGACTTTACCTATTGAGATTTTTTTTCTTTCCTTTTTTTCTTTTTCCTGATGGCAAGAGAATTGTATGCACAATGTGTGCATTGTGTAAAATTAAGAGAATTGACTTGAAAAAAATAATCAAGTGTAAGCCCACCTAATATTTCCCACAGCTCATTGCAAAATACTAACATTTTTATTGCCATTCTAACTAGCTCTTACAAAGCTGGGATAATTTTGCATATGTGTTTTCATGTGTGCCCTTTTCCATATAGAATAAACATTTGCCCAGTTTATTAGATATTGTCTAAAACGTTTTGTAGTAGCTGCATTAAAATCAGCTTAAGGACATATTCATAATTTAACCATTCCCTCCAATCGTCAGATGTTTAGGTTTTTAAACAAAAGCTTATAAATAATGCTTGCATATGAATTATTAATCTGTTCTCTTGAACAGAATAATCTAGTTTACAAACATATAATCAAAACAATTACCGTAATAGGAATTTCGTATTTCAACACTGAGATTTATAGTCTATGGAGAAAGACTTATTTTATAAGTGATTCAGCCATTTTTATTCCATTACAGCCACCTTAGTGGGTGTGAAGTAGTGTCTTATTGTGGTTTTAGTTTGCATTTCTCTAATGACTGATGATGATGAGCATCTTTTCATATGCTTGTTTGACATTTGTGTATCTTCTTCGGAGAAACGTCTAGTCAAGTTCGTTGTTCATTTTTAAATTGGATTGTTTGTCTTTTGTTGTGTTCTAAGTGTTATTTATAAACTGTGGATATGAAACCCTTATCAGATATGTGATTTGAAAATATTTTCTACCTCTCTGTGGATTGTCTTTCAACTTTCTTGACAGTTTTTCATGCACAAAAGTTTTATAATTTAATAAAATCTTATTGTGTATACTTTTGTTTATTATTTGTACTTTCGATGTCATTACTAAGAACACATTGCCAAATCCAAGGCCATGAAGATGTATCCATATGTATTTTTACAAGCATTTAATGTTTTTAGCTCATATTTATGTCAGTGATCCATTTAGAGTTAATTATTATGTTTGGTGTGATGAAGGGGAGCAAACTCATTATTTTGCACATGAATATCCACTTGTCCCAGAATCCTTTCTTGAAAAGATAATTCTTAGCTCATTTAATTGTCTTAGCATCGTTGTCAAAAGTCAACTGAAGGGGCCGGCCGAGTGGCTCAGTTGGTTAAGAGTTAGCTTAAGAGCTGGAGCTCTGAGCAATAGGGCCGCTGGTTTGATTACCACATGGGCCAGTGACACTGGACCTGGGATGAGCTGTCACTGAGCTGCCCACAGGTGGCAGGATGGCTCAGCTGGTGAGAGCACATGCTCCTAACAACAAGAATGCCTGTTTGATCGTGGGCTATGCCCACCCACAACTAAGACTGAACTCGGCACCTTGAGCTGAGCTGCCAGCCGGATGGCTCAGTGGATAGAGCTCATGCCCTTAACAACAAGGCTGCCAGGTTCGTGCAGCCAGATGGCGACTGGTGCCCTCCACAACTAAGATTGAAGAACAACAACTTGGCTGGTCCCCTTCCCCAAATCCCCAGCACTGTTCCCTCCCTCAACTCCCCAGTTAAAAAAAAAAAGTCAACTGAATGTAGATATATGGGTGATTTATTTCTGGGCTCTCAAGCCTATCCCACTGCCATGTGAGATAGTTGTCGGAAAAGTCATGACGTATTTTTTTCTCTGTTTTTTATTGCAAAAATGCGTCATGACTTTTCCGACAACCCAATATATCTCCAAAAATCATATACATACTTTAAGAAGGGAAAACTATATAAAAATTATAGTACTCAATATATACCTATAACAAAAGATGAATACAAGTCACATTTGACTTCTGCAATTACAAGAGGTGCTCAAAGTGGTTATCAGTGTAATTTTAATAGTTTTTTTCTTCCTTTCTTAAAATGTGTATATATATATATATATATATATATATATATATATATATATATATATATATATATATATATATATATATATATATATATATATAATTTATGCCAGTACCACACTTTTTTATTATTGTAGCTGCATAGTAAATTTTGAAATTGGGAAGTGAGAGTTCTTCAAAAATGTTATTTTTCAAGATCATTCTGGCTGACCATGGTCCATTTTTTTATAAAAACTTTTTAAAATTAAATTTATTTGGTGACATTGGACATTGATTAATAAAATTATATAGGTTTCAAGTGAACAATTCTATAATACATCATCTATATATTGTGTAATGATGAGCAGGGAAAAAGAAGGAGCACATGCTAGGGGGAACTAATTGATTTATTACCAATGTTTAATCAATTGATTTAGCAATATATAATCAATTTAGTTAGTATACAATAGTAAAGACAAAGGCAATCAACAGAATACAATTACAGGAATGTGCAATGGCAGAAGGTAAAAGGCAGTTAAAACTCAACTATTGGGTTGTCGGAAAAGTCATGACTCATTTTTGCAATGAAAAACAGAAAAAATACGTCATGACTTTTCTGACAACCATACGCGCGTGCGCGCGCGCACACACACACACACACACACACACACACACACACATATGTGTTAATGACAATGTTATGCCAAAGAAGCTCACCAAACTGTGGGAAATAACCCTAGAGAGGTCGGGAACAAGCTAAATCTCACCAGATCCATGGCTGGAAGTTAGGGCATCTCTTGATGCTGTAAACTGCAAGCTGCAAAGAAGCTAGAATAACAACAACTCATCAACAAAAGAAAAGGTCTTCTCTGCCAACTCAGGTCTGCCTTATATATTCTTTCAGATGTACCTCAGAGCCCAGCTCCTTGTTCCTGCCTCCCCCTCAGGGAATGGCCAGTTCCAGGAGGGTTCAGCAGTTACTGTGATAAAAATATTGCTATCCAGCTGAAGGGCTAGTTCAATCGGATAAACAATACCTCCTGTTCTTGCCTGGGACCATTGGCCCAAGGCCTTCCAAAGCCTGGTAACATGCCTGTCACGTCATCCTGATAAAACTTAGCTACTTCTTCACTCCATCTGCTGATGCGGGCAGGTGAAACAGATAGAAAGCAATATTATCTCACATCTCCACTGCCGGGAATGAGACAAGGGGGAATTCTCTCAACCCCCAACCAAGAATTCTCTTAACCCTAAGCTAACCATCACTTCACATGCAGTCTCTCATATGAGGGAGCAAACAGCTGACAGACAAAATCACATGCAGTCTCTAACGTGATAATAGACAAAAACTAACCAGCACCTCACGTGCAATCTCTCCCGTGAGGGAACCCCACATGCAGTCTTTCATGTGAGGGAGCAAAAAGCTAACATCAGCCAATGAAGGCAAATTTTCCCACATATTGCATTCTGTGTTCACCACCAAAAGTCACATCTCCTTCTGTCACTATATATTTGACTCTCTTTACCCTCTTATACCTCTCCCACTCCCCTCTTACCCTCTGGTAACCACTAAACTGTTGTCTGTGTCTATAAGTCAATTCCATATGAATTTTAGGAGTGACTTTCCAATTTCTGAAAAAAAGGACCATTAGGATTTTCTTTCTTTTTAAATTAAATTTATTGGGGTGATGATAGTTAGAAAAATTACATAGGTTTCAAGTGTACAATTCTATAATACATCATCTATATATCACATTGTGTGCTCACCACCTAGAGTCAGTTCTCTTTCTGTCACCATATATTTGACCCCCTTTACCCTCTTCTACCATCCCCGCTCTCCCCTCTGGTAACCACTAAACTGTTGTCTGTGTCTATACGTTTTTGTTTATTTGTTTGTCTTGTCCCTTTGTGCTTTCTGTCTTATATTCCACAAATGAGTAAAGTCATATGGTTCTTGACTTTTTCTGTCTGACTTATTTCACTTAACATAATAATCTTAAGGTCCATCCATGTTATCACAAATGGCAGTATTTCATCTATGACTGAGTAGTATTTCATTGTGTGTGTGTGTGTGTGTGTGTGTGTGTGTGTGTGTGTGTGTATATATATATATATATATATATATATATATATATATATATATCACATCTTCTTTATCCAATCATGTATCAAAGGACACTTTGGTGGTTGTTTCCATGTCTTGTCCACTGTAAATAATGCTGCAATGAACATCAGGGTACATATATCTTTATGGATAAATGTTTTCAGATGTTTGGGGTAGATACCCAGAAGAGAGATTGCTGGGTCTTATGGTAATGAAAATTGATACAGCCGCTATGGAAAACAGTATAGACGTTCCTCAAAAAATTAAGAATAGAATTGCCATTAGGATTTTTATAGGGGTTTTGCCAAACCTGTAGATCAATTTGAGGAGTATATTCATTTCAGTAATATTGAGTCTTCCGATGTATGGACATACGGTGTTCCATAAATATGAGGTATTTTTCAGTTTATATAGGTCATCTTTAAATTCTTTCAACAATGTTTTATAGTTTTGGTTAAATGTATCTCTAAATTATTTATTTTGATGTTGTTTTAAATGGAATTGTTTTCTCAGTTTCCTTTTTGGATCATACAGTGTCAGTGTATA